ACCTCCGCTATAGATTAAATCCCTGCTCCCGCCTCATCGTTCAATCAAACCCGACTCCGTACTTCGGTCTAAACCTCGAAATCATGTAAATCAATCCCATAAAATAGGCGACATCTGTTCCGCACCGCCCGAGCACGCGGTGACCGGGAGGCGTGACACGTGGCAACAGCGCCGTGCCGTGTGTCGTCTGCGCTGCCTCCTCGGCGAGTCAGTCAGCGTGTGGAAGGTGAGGAGGAAGGTTCTCCGCCGGGCGTTCTGGCTCCGTCTCCCCCCATTCTTTTTTTTATCTCTCTCTCTCTAGATCTTTTGAAGAAAATAGTTGATCACCAAGCCCCCCGCCTTTAGGATACGATCCATCCTGAAAAAAATCGTGTGATTATAAGCCATTAGACCCCATTTCTTGATCGGGTTTTCACCTCCCGATGGTGTGTCTCTCCTTTTCTCTTTTTTTTTTTATATTTATTTTCTTTTTTTTGGCGTACACCAGCCGCACCAACTCCCCCCCCCCCCGTCCCCCTCCCCCCCTCAACGTAAGGCCGAGTGTTTTAAATGACCGTTTGGTGTTTTCTCCCCGACAGACCCACCAGCCATTCTTCACTCTGGAGCGACGTGACCCAAGCGGGTTTTTCTAGGACGGACCCATTGGCTGCAGTACAGTGAGTAAATGGGGCTTGTCCCTCGCCTGCCACGTCTGCTGCTGGGGCTGGCGTGGCTCTGCCCCCTCCTCCTCCTCTCCTCCTCCTCCTCCTCTCCGTCTCCTTCTGCTCCGTCTCCTTCTGCTCCGTCTCTTCCTCCGCCCCCTCCTCCTCCGCCGTCTCCCTCTGCTCCGTCTCTTCCTCCTCCTCCTCCTCCCCTCCTCCTCTCCACCTCCTCCTGCTCCGTCTCCTCCTCCCCCTTTCATCTCTCATTCCTCTTTCGTTCCTCCCGTATACGCTTTTTTTTATCCGGCGTTTCGTTATCTTCTGGTGTGTTACCCCTTTTATATATTTTCCTCTCTTCTCTTGTCTTGTCTTCTCCCTCCTACCTCTTTCATTCCCGGTGACCTTTTTCACCTTTTCATTCTTTCTTCTCCGACGGTGCGTCTGTTTTTTCTTTTTTTCATTTTTTTTCTTTCGTAGTCTGCAAGGGTTATTTCTCCTCTTTTGTCTTTTCGTTGTCGTTCGTTCTGGGATTTAAAAATGTAGGCCTATAAGAAGGAATGTGCTTGCGTCTCCCAAAAGCTCAAGGTCAGAATGCCGTTTGACGAGAAAGGGAGGAAGGGGAGGAGGAGGAGGAGAGAAGAAAGAAAGAATGAGTAGATGATGATGTTGATGGAAATGGAAAATTGCCTTTTGCCTTTTCTCCCTCTGTTTCTCTCTTGCTTTCGCTCTCGTTGCCGGCGGAGATTAACGGTGGTAGATCGTATACAGGGATTTACAGACGGGATTTTCGAGGTGGAAATAGACGGCGGAGGGTAGAAGGGGAGGGAGCTGGCAGCCGGTTCTTGCTGCGTCGTCGGCGGTGTTGCTAGGTAGGCCTACCCATCCCTCCCCCCTCCCCCTTCTCCTCCTCCTTGCCTACCAGTGAGGGATTAAGGAGCCATATGTACGGCGATTAATGCCTCGGTTTCTCGCCCAGGTGCCCCGTTGGCGTGGCATATGGCGAGGGTGGTTGCAGGCATGGCCGGGGATGAAAATGGACCTTGTTGTGAATGTGATAGGTTTTGGGGAAGCCTTTTGGCATTTCTTGACAGATTGGGGGGTGACCCCCCCCCCCCCTCTCTCTCTCTCTCTCTCTCTCTCTCTCTCTCTCTCTCTCTCTCTCTCTCTCTCTCTCTCTCTCTCTCTCTCTCTCTCTCTCTCTCTCTCTCTCTCTCTCTCCCTCTCCCTCTCCCTCTCCCTCCCTCCCTCCCTCCCTCCCTCTCCCCTCCCCCCCTCCCCCCATGGAGCTTGGCATTTCAGTGGGAAGGGAGAGGTTTATTAAAGGTAGTTTTTGCCTTGTGTTGAGAATTGGGTGCAATAAGTGGAACAGCTGTTTGGTAATGCTGTTTAGTGTTTTCTTTCAGATGCCATTGAAATGTTGTGAATATTGGTATTAGTTTTTAATGTAAGGCTTTTTTTTTTTAGGTTTAATGCTAAATGAAATACTAGTTGTTAGATGTTCTGTGCATTTGTCAAATTTATATTTGACAGCCTTTTTGTCTACTTAAATTTAATGTTAGGAAATTATTAGAAAGTAATAGTAGTAAGGTAGTTAAAGGATAGTATGAAATTTAATGGCCAGATATTTATTGATATGAATTGTTTAATTGTTTGCAATAGCTTTAAAAAAAACTGCCTAAGTTGTTGTTTTTTTTTTCTTCCAAAATGTATGTTTGGCAATTTCTTTTGATCTTAGTTGTTTAGTTTGTATGTTCTCTATAAATAATTTTGTCTGACCCTATTAATGCAAATGGACCAAGATGATAATAGATTTTTATTCCGAAATATGGCTAGATTACTCCATTTTCTTTGGCTTTAACCAGAACCTTGTTTTCTTAGCTGGAAAATCTCATAATCTGAGAGATTACTTACTGGTTTCATTTCCTTAATATTCATCAAGAAGAAAAGGGAAAGAAAAGGGGGAATAAAATAAAATAAAAGGGGATGAAAAGCAACCCAGCAAGTATTGTCTTGGACTTGGGAGAGAAGCATGTAGTTGTGTAACAGGGAACTGGTCTATCAGGTCTAGTTCTCCTACATGACCTGCTGCCGTAGAAGCCTGTCACTTTTGCCTCTTGTTCATTTTTTGAGAGGATATGAATGGTAGGGGACAGTGGATGCCTCTTTTCCTTCTTGGATGTTATTGCGGTCGGTTACTTCTGTTGGGTGTTATTGCCGAGTGTGGTGGTGATGAGATTATGGTTACATGTGTTGCTGGAGACCAATAATGGTACTATTATTACTACTGTCATTATAATTTGTTACTTTAACTAATAGTAATAGTATTACTTTTACCAATACTGTTATCTTTACCACTTGTCCACCATTACCCTCGTTTCCAAAATTCCTACATGTATTACTATGCTATTACTGTTACCCTGACTACTACTACTTTTTAATGTTGTCACTGTTCCTCTGTTGCTCTCAGTGGCTACCCTTGTGGCTGCCTCTGTTGCTGTCAGTGGCTACCCTTGCGGCTGCCTCTGTTGCTGTCAGTGGCTACCCTTGCGGCTGCCTCTGTTGCTGTCAGTGGCTACCCTTGCGGTTGCCTCTGTTGCTGTCAGTGGCTACCCTTGCGGTTGCCTCTGTTGCTGTCAGTGGCTACCCTTGTGGCTGCCTCTGTTGCTGTCAGTGGCTACCCTTGTGGCTGCCTCTGTTGCTGTCAGTGGCTACCCTTGTGGCTGCCTCTGTTGCTGTCAGTGGCTACCCTTGTGGCTGCCTCTGTTGCTGTCAGTGGCTACCCTTGTGGCTGCCTCTGTTGCTGTCAGTGGCTACCCTTGTGGCTGCCTCTGTTGCTGTCAGTGGCTACCCTTGTGGCTGCCTCTGTTGCTGTCAGTGGCTACCCTTGTGGCTGCCTCTGTTGCTGTCAGTGGCTACCCTTGTGGCTGCCTCTGTTGCTGTCAGTGGCTACCCTTGTGGCTGCCTCTGTTGCTGTCAGTGGCTACCCTTGTGGCTGCCTCTGTTGCTGTCAGTGGCTACCCTTGTGGCTGCCTCTGTTGCTGTCAGTGGCTACCCTTGTGGCTGCCTCTGTTGCTGTCAGTGGCTACCCTTGTGGCTGCCTCTGTTGCTGTCAGTGGCTACCCTTGTGGCTGCCTCTGTTGCTGTCAGTGGCTACCCTTGTGGCTGCCTCTGTTGCTGTCAGTGGCTACCCTTGTGGCTGCCTCTGTTGCTGTCAGTGGCTACCCTTGTGGCTGCCTCTGTTGCTGTCAGTGGCTACCCTTGCAGTCATTTTTTGCTTCTTATCAGTAATGCTATAAAACATTATCAGTAATAGTAGTAGCAGTAGTCGTATTAGGTTTTCATTCTGATTATGTTCTTTACTGATATTACCCATTTTCCTTTTTTTTCCACCATCTTCCTTTCTTTCTTTTCCTTTCCTTGCTTTTTATTAGTTTTATTGCTTTACCTTCTCTACGGCTTTCTCTACTGCCTCTTGTGCCCGTGCCTACTCCCACCTTTCTTTCTTCTTGCTTGTCTTCTCCCTCCCTGCCCTCCCCCCTCAGTTTTTCACTTGCTGCCACACACCATTTCAATCTCCTTGGTTGTCTCCTCCTCCTCCTCCTCCTCGGCTTTCCTGTCCTCCTCCTCGGCTTTCCTGTCCTCCTCCTCCTCCTCCTCGGCTTTCCTGTCCTCCTCCTCCTCCTCCTCGGCTTTCCTGTCCTCGTCTCTGCCTCCTCCTGTTTTTTTCTCCTCCTTAGCTCTTCCTCTGCTTCAGCCACATACTGTAAGCTCGTGAATATCCGCTGACATCAGGTAGCCTATCTAAAATTGCAATCTTTGAATTTTTTGTAAAAGAAAAACAAAAAACTAAGCCTGCAAGTGGTCTCTGATTACCAGCCAGGATTTCCTAGTTCTGAAGGATAAAAAAATCTTCCCTCTGCATTTTCCCTTCCTTTACCAGGTCGTTGTCTTCTGATTGTCTTCTGATTGCCTGTTGTTTCATTCCCATCGTTTCTTGGCCATTTTCCTCCGTGGCCGTTGCACCCTTCTTCTGCTATTCCAAATAACTCCTTTTCTTTGTCTTGTTTTTTTTTTTTTTTTAGTCTTCTCTCTCGTTTCTATTCTTTTCACATCCTTGTTTTCCACATTTCATGCCAGTGTAGGTTAATCCTGCTTTCAGTTTTTTTTGTTTTTTTTTAATGTGCATGCATTTGTATAATTTATATGTTGATATCTATTAGCTTTTGTGACCATGGTGTCCGATTAGAATTCTTATAATAGAGGCCAAGTACTAAAGCTAGTGTTGCCTAAACCATTCAGTCTGTCATCATTGTCTTCAGACTGAAAGATTTCCTTGGAAGTCTTGCAAATGTAGGCTAATATATATATATATATATATATATATATATATATATATATATATATATATATATTATATATTATATATTATATATTATATATTATATATTATATATTATATATTATATATTATATATTATATATTATATATTATATATTATATATATATATATATATATATATATATATATATATATATATATATAATATATAATATATAATATATAAGTACAGTATTTAGTTGACTCTTGCCCAATTTTTGTTTTCCCATTATTAAACTGCAGGATCTTTTTTTTTTTTTTCTTTGTACTGTAGCTTTGTCCTCCTTTTGCGCTGGGTTGCTAGTTCAGTGTTACCCCTTCCTTCCTCATTAAAAAAATAAATAAAAAAAGATAAAAAAAATCTAAAATTACATTTTTCCAAAAGCATGGACCCTTTCTTTGTTTATCGATTATTCTTTTGTGTTCATTGGGTGTTAGATAAGGAAAGGAAATCAGGAAGGTCAGTCTTCACTGCTCAGACTAGTGTACAGTGAGATGTTATCTGTTGCTATCTGTTTGTAGTGAGCTTAACCTTGACTCAGCAGACAGTGGTCAGCACTTGTCCTGCTGGGCTTGTCAGTCGGTCACAAAAGCATTATGTAAGGGAGGTGGAGGGTGGTGGTTGCTAGACCTAGGATTCACTTTTTTCATCTTGAGATATGGGTGTTAGTTGCAGGGTGGGTGGGGGGATGGGTTAGCTGTGGTGTGGGTGGGTGGGGGGAGAGGGGGGTTAGTTGCACTAAGACTTTTTGAGGAGAAATCAGATTACAAAACTTGTGTGGCCTCTATCTCTTCAAAGTTGGTCAAAGTTAGACCTTGCAATTGCAAAACTAGCTTCAAATGAATGGTATATTTATCATTATAAATAGAAAGTTTTCCCCTTGCAGTTCAGTATTTACTGAAAGAAATTGATATTGAAATATAAAGGTTACACTTCCCATGAGCATGTTAGTAGATATGAGAATTGTAACTTTCATAGATCTATGGGGATGTTTCTTACAATTTACCAATTTAATTAGTTGGGTTTAAAGCCTCTTTCTCTTCATCTGCAGTGTTACTGTAACGACTCGGCGCGGATCATGGACCCGACCCCCCTGCAGCAGACAGTGATGGAGTCCCAGGAGGTGACCTCCCCCCCCCAGGAGGTGGACCCCAGTGCCCCCACCCCTTCAGATCCCTCTTCAATTACCAATGCCGACCAGGCTTATGAACCACTGAGTTACGATGAGGTATGCGAAGGAGTTGGCCATTTGTCTGTTTGGTGGCATTGCTTGTGTGTTCATACCTTGTCACAAACCACTATGTTGGGGCTAAAAATTGATACTAATTTTTCTATCTTTTAAATCTACAGTTGTTCCCAGCACTCCCCAATGCTGCCCAGGCACCAACACCTGTGGCAGAAGCTCCTCAGACCAACTGGAGCAAGCACAGTGAAATGCGAATTGCCTCTTCTGTTATCACTCAGGTTTGTGAAGTATTTTGGCTTAAATTGACTTTCTTTTGACTAGTGCTTCTCAGTGCACTAAAAGTCTTTAAGAGTAAAATTTATCCAGTACAATGTCTTTCAGGTGTTCCGTGTTCCTTTTGAAGAAAGAGCGAAGATTGATGGTAACAACCAGTTTGGAGAATCGGCCTCAACGCGTATCTGTTCTGACATTACTGCTCGTACAGGTGCTCACATTGAGATCTCCTCTGCAAAGGACCAGTCTCTGACCTTCTTAGTGACTGGCAAGAGCGATGCCGTGATGAAGGCTCGTCGTTTAGTGCTTGACAAGTTCCAGACTCAGGCACGGCAGATTATTAAGATCCCCAAGGTATGTCACGTATAGGGAGTGCATTGGTATAATTTTGTTTGAGTAATACGAGAATTACTAAAAATCTTCCTACGGTTATACTTGGATCATTATCCAGAAACTTTAGAAAGTGAATTAAGAGTTCCGTGTGTAGATTTTGGTACAGAAAAATGTTCCACCTTGGTCATTTGTTACATTGTTTTTATCAGGAGCACCACCGATTCATCCTTGGCAAAAAGGGAAAGAAACTTCAAGAGCTTGAGATCAACACCGCAACCAAGATTCAGGTGCCCAATGCAGCCGACAACTCTGATGAAATCATTGTCGTTGGAACAAAGGAGAGCACCGAAAAGGCGATGCATGAGATCCAGCTGATTTCAGATGAGCAGGCAAGTGCTGTGATGTATAGTAGTAAAAGCAGGTGGTTGATATCGTGTACGTTTTCCTGTAAGATTCAAAGGTGTATGCAAAGATCACCCCCATATAGATGATTATGCTAATTACATGAAAAGAGCTTACTTGATAATGATGGGATTTCCTCTTCCAGAGCAAGCAAGCTTATGAGAAGCTGGAAATTCCCAAGCAGTACCACCCGTTCATCTGTGGCGCCAACAACGAGAAGATCAATGCCATGATGGCAGAACACAACGTGCGAATCAACGTTCCTCCTCCCAGTGTCATGAAGAACGAGATGACCATTGCTGGGGAGAAGGAGGGTGTCTTGAAGTGCAAAGACATCATCCAGAAGTACTTCAAGGAGATGGTATGCTATTAGTTGTCGGTCATTTACGATGCCATTTTTTCAATCCTCTCACTTTCCAGAGAAGGTTTTTTTTTTTTTTTTGTCTTTGATAATTTTTAAGGGGAATATTGGCCCAGCTTAGCCTGCAGAAAGTAAACTAACAAGTTTCTACTCTTCAAACAGGAGCGTAAATGCCAGACTGTGTCGGTAGAAGTACGCAAGTCTCAGCATAAGTACGTCATTGGCCCGCGTGGGTCTAACATCGCTGACATTTTGCACCAGACAAATGTTTCTGTAGAAATGCCCACTACAGATTCCACCTCTGAGACAATCACACTGAGAGGACCTCAGGACAAACTTGGTCAAGGTATAGTTCTTTACTAGGTTAAATGAAATAAGTAAAAAAAAAATTTGTTGAGCTATGCAAACTATTTTATTTGTACAGCTTAGTGAAAGTTGAGATAATTATCACTAAATGAATGCTAAAGACACATTTTAAGCAGGAATATTTGTACTTTCCTCTAGCCTTGACACTGGTGTATGCCAAGGCTAACAGTGTAGTGCAGGCTGATGTGGAGGCCCCAACCTGGCTCCACAAGTTCATCATTGGCCGCAAGGGGGCCAACATCCGCCAGATCACTCAGGATCTCCCGAAGGTAAGGGGGTAGATTTAGATCAAGAATCTATTTGAAGTGCTTTTTTCTAATTTAAGTGGTGGGAAATAAAGGCATTGATTAGATAGTGGATGTGATGTAATATTGGAAAAGTTTGCTCTCCCCGTAAGCTAATGTGGGAAATTTTGCCTCTCTCTCCAGGTGCACGTGGAGTTTACTGATAAGCAGGGAGGCATCAAGCTGGAAGGACCACCAGAAGAGGTTGACGAAGCCAGGGAGAAGCTGGAAGCGATGATTGCGGACTTAAAGAGCAAGCTTTGCTATGACCAACTTGTTGTTGATCCCAAGTAAGTTCAGTTTATTTTGTTACAAGGATGGAGTTGGAATTTAGAAGGTTAGTTTTGCATTTCACCAGATTTAGTGATTGGTAAAGTTTTGGTTCATGCTCCTTCTTTGACTAGTAGGTACTACAGGAGAAATATGACAAAATGGGTTGAATTGAAGGCCTAGTTTGTGCATCTGGATTAATTGGAGGAACCTAACTTGTAGATAAATGATATGTGAATGAACTTGTCTAATGTCTTGATGCAAACCTAACAGATTCTACAAGCATATCATCGGCAAGAGTGGATCCAACATCAACCGTATTCGCAATGAGACTGGTGTCCTCATCAACATCTCCGAGGCTGATGGCAGCAATCTCATCCGCCTAGAGGGCAGTCCAGATGGCGTTGCACGAGCAAAGACCGTAAGTACTAATTAGCTTTGAATGTACTGGTTTGAGCAGATTATAATTATTGGACAGACCAAGATCTTGGTTTTCCTAAGCCAGCTGTTGAAATAAGGATCATGTAATTGTCTGATAAATTAGATAAAAATATTTTTGTGGGATATGATTTTGGAAAATAACCTTCTTTTTTTTTAATTCCAAGGAACTGGAGGAGCTTGTTACAAAGATGGAAAACGAGAAGGAGAGGGAGATCATCATTGAGCAGCGTTTCCATCGCAACATCATCGGCACCAAGGGAGATAAGATCAAGGAAATCAGGGACAAGTTTAACCAAGTCCAGATCTCTTTCCCCGATGCTGGTAGGACATATTTAACTTTTTTTTTTTTTTTTTTTTAACATGAATCTTTTCTTTCCCTTTCCAGGCCAGTATTGTGGAGCTGGATATCATCATCCCAGCAAAGTTCCACAACTCCATGATCGGAGCAGGAGGAAAGCTGATCCAGAGCATCAGCGAGGAGTGTGGGGGCGTTGCCATCAAGTTCCCTCCCCCAGAATCCCGTTCTGACAAGGTATGTTGTAGAAGTGGCCTTAGCGAATTGATTAGATTCGGCACAGTTTTACGAGTTGTAAAATAGCAAAGTAGTTTCAGGTTACAAATTCAGTGACCGAATTGTGAATGAACTTGTCTAATGTCTTGATGCAAACCTAACAGATTCTACAAGCATATCATTGGCAAGAGTGGATCCAACATCAACCGTATTCGCAATGAGACTGGTGTCCTCATCAACATCTCCGAGGCTGATGGCAGCAATCTCATCCGCCTAGAGGGCAGTCCAGATGGCGTTGCACGAGCAAAGACACTACCTACCTAGAGGAATATTACGGTATTCATTAAATGTATTATAATTCACTTGAGTTTGACCTTCACACACTATCAATAAAATGCTTTTTGTCACCAGGTGAACAATCGGACATTGTCAAGATTCGCGGGCCTAAGGAGGACGTCGATCAGTGTTACAATTTCCTGAAGCGAATGCTGCGTGAACTCCTTGAATCCAACTATCAAGTGAAAGTTTCTATCTTCCGTCAGTTCCACAAGT